CCCCCCCACACACATACACCCTGGGGCCCCCACTCAGACCTCCGTAAACACTGTTCCTTCTGCCCAACCTAACTCAGCTCTTGTCTCTCCATGCACTCACGTGTTCTGCAAATGACTTTCTATATTTTCTTGTTTTGTTTTGTTTTGTTTTCCCAATTAATCCTTACAATAACCCCGGGCTGGGAGGTGGGCCCTGTGACCATCCCCATTTTGTGGGTGAGGACATGAGGCTGAGTGGTAAAGACACTTAGCAAGGCCGCACGTTAGTAAGGGGTTGAGATGAGATTCAAAAGCCTCACGCGCAATCCTCTGGCTCTAGGGCCCCAGGGCTGATCCACCGTGCGCTAGTCTATGGAGGACACATTGCCACCTGTCAGCCTACTGACCCCCACCCTGTTTTGTTTTACAAACTGTCTTTGAGGCCCTACTATGTGCCTGGCACAGTCATAGACACTGGATAACTTGGATGCCAACCACTCCAACAGACTCTCCCTGACCCCCCAAATGGAAATTGGGTTTTCCTTCTGCACAGGACCTTATGTGCTTGCCCCGTTGCCTTGTCAGTTTGTACCTGGTGCTGATTTGCATAACTGACTGTCTCCCTTCTAGACAGTAAGGCCCAGGAGGACAGATTCAGCACAGCCAGCCCACAGCCAGAGGTCTGGATGCCTGCTACACAGTAGGCACAAAACGAGTGAATGAATGGATGGTCCCATGCACATGACCTTGCAGAAACCCTCAATGTGTGGAATAGATACACTTCAGCTAAGAGGTGGCTTCAAAATTATTTTTGGTAAAATATACCTTATTTTCCACTGAGCCATTGGAAAATCTGAGATCTCATGGTAGAAATTTATGGGGGCCTTGGATCCGTGGGCCTTCCCAAGTGAACGGTTCTCAAGCACTGCATCCTGTCACCAGACCCCTGAGTCACTCCTGGAGGGCTGGAGCCCAGGGCACCTTCTACAGGGCGTGGGCCCAGCCAGGGCTGAGAGCGCCTGCCCTAGCCAAGCAGTCCACGCCTTCTGGCAGTCAGCATACATCACTGGGCATGAGGCGGAGGGGGCAGAAATGAGGCGCCTAGGTGTGCCGACCAGGGCTCAGAGTCCAGCAGCCGAGAGAGACCAGTGAACACTCACTGCTCACTCAGGGCCGTTCCCCCCCTGACACCATGAGCTCAAGCCAGCTCCCTGCACTATGTCTGTTGGGCCCCGCACGGTCTTGTAGCTGCATGAGATTCCTGTCGCCTCTGTAACAAGTTACCACAGACTTGGAGGCTCTGAAGGTCACAAGTCTACCATTAAGGGGTCAGGAGCGCTGTGCTCCTTCTGGGGGCTCCAGGAGAGTCTTTTCTCTGGCCTTTTCCAGTGTTTACAAGAAGTGTCCTGCATTCCTTGCTCACAGCTCTCTCCTTTTCTTAAAGTCAGCCGTATGGGATCTTCCACCCTCTGGTCTTCCATTCTCTCTCCCACCACACCTCCTTCTCCGGCTCCAACCCTCCTGCTTCCCTCCCCCCTTATAAGGAGGCGCCCCTTGTGGGGCACCTGGGTGGCTCAGTTGGTTAAGCAACTGCCTTCGGCTCAGGTCATGATCCTGGAGTCCAGGGATCGAGTCCCGCATCAGGCTCCCTGCTCAGCAGGGAGTCTGCTTCTCCCTCTGACCCTCCCTCCTCTCATGCTCTCTCTCTCTCTATCTCATTCTCTCTCTCAAATAAATAAAATCTTAAAAAAAATAAAATATAAGGACCTTGTGATTGCATTGGGTCCACCGAGATCGCGCAGGATAGTCTCCTCCTTCAGTCAAGAGCCTTAACTGAATCACACCTTCAAGTCCCTTTTGCCTCATAAGCCAACTCCTTCATGGGCTGCAGGGACCAGGGTGTGGATATCCTTGGGAGGGGGCACGATTCTTCTCACCCCAGTGACCTTGTCAAAGAACAGGCCGCTCTGTGCCTCGCTGCTACATCTGGAAGCAGGGGGAGTAATGATAGTAACAGAATTAGTAGTAGTAATAATACCTACCTTCTGGGGGATTGACTTTCTCCACAAGCACATAGAACAACATCTGACTAATAGACACTCAAGTATATGTCGACTTCAATATATTTAAGCAGTAAGATGAACACTGTGCCAAAAGTTTGAGACTGAAAACAAGGCACAGATGTCAGCATATTTTTAAAATGACAAAATCAAAGTAAGAATTTGAGAAAATGTGTAGCTCCACAAAAGACATCAACCTTATAGAAAACCAGCGTGAATTTAGAAACGAGGAAGCCCAAGACATCCCCAAGCAGAGGAAAAGACACTCGAAAGCATTTGCAGTCCAAAAACCACAAGTTAAAATAACAAAAATGGTTCACTTTACACCTTGAGACCAGCAGAAATCGGGTAATGCCAGGGCTGGGAGGGACGGATGCAGGGGCCTCCTCATCTGCTGGACCAGCCAGTCCCCAGGAAGGGTTCCACTCCTGCCCGTCAGGTTACGGCACCACCAGCCTGAGATGCAGCGGTTGCCCCTGAGGACATCTGTCCCCTGAGAATTGTCACACAGATCCACGATGCTCATCTGCCTGGAAGTGGCCCCCCAAGCCTGGGAGGGCGATATGGGCAGACGTGCACTTTGGGGGGTGACTTGGCATCTAGAAGAAAGTCAGACGAGGTGTATTCGTAGGAACGTGGGTGGATGCACAGAATCACCGGGGTTGGTGGAAAAGTGAGAAAGAGAATGGGGTACAGAACACACAGAAGCTTCGAGCTCAGAAGTCAATACGCATTTCCCTGGAGAGCAAAGAATGAACACCGAGCATGCTTGCTGATTGGCGGGGATGGCGTTAGCAATGGGGGAGCAAGAGAATGAGTGAATGAGGGAATGAATGGATAGAAGAGAAATACTGGCCTCCGCTGTGGGTGGTGGGCACGTTATCACAGGTTGACGGGCGTAGGGAGGGAGAGTACCCGGCGAGCGCTGACTCTGACCCTGGCAGGGGCCGAGAACAAATGCTTAGGACTGTCAGAGCCTGGGGCAAGGACAGGAGGTCAGAAGCAGAGGGTTCGGGAGGATTGGAGTTGAAGGATGGGGTACAGCAATTCCAGTTTTAGGGAACAAGCTTAGCAAAGGCCGAAGAGAGAAAGCTTGGGATCTGCCCAGAACTGACGCTAACATTTCAGGAGCAGTGGCCAGGAGTAGACACCCCGGGGCGGGCTCATCGTTCCCTACTCAGATAACCCTCCGAGGGAACAGTGATTAACTTCCCCTTCACACCAGCGCCGAGGGAGAGAAGGGAGGCTCAGAGAAACTGAGGAGTTTGCCAAAGGGTCCAGCTGGGAGGGGAGGAGCCAGGGTCTGGGCAGGCCGGCCTCATTCTAGAACCCACACAGGGCTGCTCCTTGTATCTGCCAGACTGTTAAGCCGATGACTTGCAGTGAAGGACATATGGAAAAGGAGAATGGTCCATGTGGGCTTCTTTAGAGCCCATGTGGGTTTCTGCATGTAGACCAAGCAGCAGATGTGGAATCCTCCCAGTGACACCAGAACACAAGAAAAGGAGCCAGAGCAGACTCTGGTGTCTGATCTGGGACCCAGCTACACCCAGCAACCCACAGGACAGGCCACAGACACTGTGTGGGACGGGAAGACAGGACACTGTGGGACAGGAGGACGGACCACAGGACACTGTGTGGGACAGGGGGCCGGGAGGACGGACGATGGGGCGGCCCGTGGGCCGGGAGGACGGACGATGGGGCGGGCCCGTGGGCCGGGAGGACGGACGATGGGGCGGGCCCGTGGGCCGGGAGGACGGACGATGGGGCACTGATGATGAAGAATGAGCTCACAGTTGGGAATGGGCTTCCACAGGTCACCTAAGAGCATCATCTCCTCTCTTTTCCTTTCTATGTCACAGAAAGTCACGTGGGTTTGGAGTCCAGCCACCTGGGATGGAGAGAGGAGGGTGTTGGATCTATAAGACCTGGGGATCTTTTCCGTGGAGCTGAGTCCAGCTGAGAGTCCTGGAGAATAACCCTCCTTGTAACATGATCCCTGTCCCAGGGCGAGAGGCTCACACCGGCCCCAGGTGAGCTTTCTGTCACACCGCCTTCTCTCCCCGACAGCCATCTTGAAACCAGCTCAGCTCCCACTTGTCATGCTGCTTTTTACTTGGCTCCAACTTGCATGAGAGCCTGACGGTGGCATTTAATTGTTTTCCTGCACACGAGTGGGTATTAACAATTGCTACGATGTCATTTCCTGCTGGGGACAGAGCGTGGTGGAGCTGCCGGAAGAAGCTGCCTGCTGGCATCATTGCAGGAAGCTGGGAGGGAATCCTGCACAGGTGAATCTGAGACACAAAAGCCCCACCCCTGACCTCAAGGGCCTTCCGCTTTGAGGCTCCTGTCCCCCAGTCCTGCCATGGACCAGCAGGCTACATTTGGGCGAGGTATGCTGTGCCTCCAGCCTCGGTTTCCTCCTGTGAAAACTAGGAGCAGTAATCCAAAATGGGACTGGGGGCTGGGGATGGGGCAGGACTGGGAGGTGGATGGTACAGGCAGAAGCTGGGCCGAGTGAGGACCAACAGGAAGGCTGAGACCGGGTGGCCGAGGCCCTGGCCAGAGTCCAGCCCACAGAGGGCCATCCCACAGGCCATACTGCCACTGCATATCTGAACCTAGGGACCCCAGGGGCTCTAACCCATCCCCACCTCCCAGTTCTCCATGGGCACAGAGCAGGGATGGGTGGGACTGGCAAGCGGGTCTAACAGGTGTCCCAGCCCCACAGCTGTGCTCCATACCGCCTTGGGTGCTGCACCAAACTTACTCGAGGGTGTCCCCCCTCCCCACTGTGCTCCCCAGCTATGGAAGCAGAATCTCCCTGGGGGGCCTTGGGCATCGGCCACGTCCAGGCAGTGGGACCCTAACTGTGGTGGGAGAAGCATTCACAGGTCTCAGGCATCCTGCCAACACAGTTCCCAGTGAGGCTGTCAGCAGATCTTGGGGCATCACCCTCAAGCCTGTCCCCGACGAGGGCCACCACTGCCTCTCTCCACTTCTACCTGGTCCAGAGCATGTCCCCAGATCAGCTCCCGGGACTCCTGCTGTCACCCCAAGAACTCACACACGCTGGGGTGAGTGCAAAGGGCTCAGCACCTCAGAGAACCGTTTGGAAGTGTCCCCTAAAGCCAAACATATGCCTCGCCGGGACCCGCAGTCCCACTCTTAGTTCATGCTCAGAAGCAGGCGCACATGTCTCCAAATATAGGTATGTTGGTGGCACTTTACTCACAAGAGCCAAAACAGGAAGCAGCCAAAATGCGCACCCACAGGATGATGGACAAACAGAATGTGGTATGTGTGTACAGGGGAACGCTACACGGGAGCACAACAGAATGATCTGCTGCTCCGGGCAAGACCCTGGATGAATCTCACAGGCATTATGCTGAGTGAAAGAAGCCAACTTGAAAGGCTGCACGATTCCATTTACAGAAAATACAAACAGGTCAAACTGATCCACGGTGACAGGTTAAGAACAGCGGCGCCTTTGTGGGAAGGGTGGTGACCAGGAGGGGGATGAACCATCTCTCTGGGCGCTGGAAATGTTCTCGATCTTACGCTGATGGTGATTAGAAGGGTGTACTCAGGGGCGCCTGGGTGGCTCAGGTGGTTAAGCGTCCGACTCTTGATTTCGGCTCAGGTCATGATCACAGGGTCCTGGGATCCAGCCACATATCGGGCTCCACGCTCAGCAAGAAATCTGCTTGTCCCTCTCCCTCTGCTCGCCCACCCCCACCCCACTCTGTCTCTCAAATAAATAAATAAATAAATAAATAAATAAATAAATAAATAAAATCTTTTAAAAAAGAAGGGTGTATTCACATGTCAAAATCCATCAACCTCTAGATTAAAGAGTAGTGCATTCTATGTACCTCCCAGTACGTATAACATACGTGGATGGCTCCTCTTGCCAACAGAGTGAGGTCCAAACTGTGCACCTGCTTCTCCACGGTCCAGCCTTTGCCCATCTTTCCAACCTCATCTTTCACTCCCTCCCTGCCTGATATGATGCCCCAGCCACCTTGGCTCCACGTACACCTTCTGCTCGTCCACACCGGCCTGGCCTTGCACACATTGCTCCCGGCTTGGAATCCTTCCCTGTTTCCAGCTGGAAGTGTCTCTCCCCCTCCTCGCCCCTCCCCCTCCTCTCTCTGTCTCTCTGTGTCCCTCTCGGTGTACACACATCTGGGAGATGGGCTAGGGTTAGGGTTAGGGTCAGGCTTAGGCTTAGGGCCTAACAGAGCCTCAGAGAAATGAGTGGCTTGTGCTAAGAAGCAGGTCAAGGTGGGATTCATGCCCAGGTGAGCCTAACACGTAGGTGTTGAGCGCGTGTTCCTGCTAGGCGTGCAGACAATGACAAGTGCCCATCCTTGTCTTCTGAGAGCTTCCAGGCTGGAGGGCAGGCAAACCACCAAACGGAAAATGTTCGTGCACAGAAAGCGCATGAACTCCGGACTGGTCTCCGTCCTACCGTTGGACAAATCCCTTCAGCGCTCCAAGTCTCTGTTTATCTGTGAAATGGTGATAATACCTCCCTGCATCTCATTATCAGGTGGTGGGCACGTGACAAATGACGGCAACATCATTTCCCATTTTTAATTTTTTTAGTTTCTTTTTTTAATTTATTTTTATTAACATATAATGTATTATTTCATGGGTACAGGTCTGTGATTCATCAGTCTTACACAATTCATAGCACTCACCATAGCACACACCCTCCCCAATGTCCATCACCCAGCCACCCCTTCCCTCCGACCCCCCTTGACTCCAGCAACCTTCAGTTTGTTTCCTGAGATTGAAGAGTCTCTTATGGTTTGTCTCTCTATCTGGTTTCGCCTTGTTTCATTTTCTCCTCTCTTCCCCTAGGATCCTCTGCCTTGTTTCTCCATATATCAGTGAGATCATATGATAATTGTCTTTCTCTGATTGACTTATTTCGCTTAGCATAATACCCTCTAGTTCCAACCACATCATTGCAAATGGCAACATTTCATTTTTTGATGGCTGCATAATATTCCATTGTGTGTGTGTGTGTGTGTGTGTGTGTGTGTGTGTATGTATGTATATATATATGGGAGTTTGGGATATTTATATACATACCACATCTTCTTTATCCATTTATCAGTCGGGGGACATCTGGGCTCTTTCCATAGTTTCGCTGCCCATCTTTCTGATGGTGAATATCCTCCAGATCCATCAAATTGTCCAAGGCCAAGGTCACATGCCACCTCCTCTCTGAAGACATCTTTAACTTGCCTCCCTTTCCAGACCTTGATGGTCACCCTCCTCCTCATCAGGATAATAATGAAATAACAAAGCTGTCCTGAATGGAGATTTTACTATGTGTTAAGGGCGATGCAAAGCATTTACATGCATTCTCACATCTAATCCCCATCATGACCCTCTAAGGTGGGAACTGTTGTCCCTACTTTTTAGCTAGGAAACTGAGGTTTATTGCTATTACATGGCAAGCCCAGGTTAACTGCTTGTGAGTGGGAGGCCAAGGTTCAGCCCCTGAATCATGGGCTCAGAATCTCAGCCGCGAGCTACACCACCCCAAGCACCTCTCTTTCTTCCAGGATCGAGCAACCTCACATGGGACAGGTCATTCAGTCACATCGATATACGTCGGGTTGGAGCTTTACTGTTTATAACACACACCCCTCCTCCTACAGGTGAGCAAACTGAGGTTCTTTACTTCTCCTTTTAATGAGTAATCCTTGCATGCCTACAAATGCCAGGATGTGGCAGGGAACAGCATTAGCTGGGGGCCCATTCTCCTGGGACTTAGAGTTTAATGGGGAGCTGGGGGTACCTATGGCAAGCCAACAAACACCACCTGATGAGGTTTGGGGGAGAAGATCAAACAGGTGAGAGAGAGAGTGTGTGTGCACCTGGGGACAGCTTTAGCTGGGAGCCTCTGGGAACAGCATTAGTGGGGAGCTGAGTGACCAGAGGGAGGACCTAGAGCAAGGGCATGAAAGGGGGAGGGCCCAGCAAGTGCAAAGGCCCAAGGGAGGGGGCAATGTGGCCTGTTTGAGGGAGGGCCAGACGGATGACAGACACGTGGACTTGGAAGCACCTTCCTGGAGAACAGTGGAGTGGGGTGAGTTCCAGGAGCAGGGACTGAGGCTTCACGGGCATGACTGGGAGTTTGGATTTTTAGCCTAAGTTAGAAGGAAAGAACTGGAAGGTTTCAAGCAGGAGTGATAAGATCACGTTTATGCTTCAAAGAGGACCTTTCGAGGGCATACCTTGAGCCCGGGACACAGGCCTGGCCCAGGCAAGAGCTTGTTTTCTCCAGCACCTACAAATGGACTGGTAGGCACCCAATTCTATTAACTGACTCACTGACTTGATCTATTCTGAGCAAACAGATGCATTCTTTCCAGCTCCCTGTTGGCCAGGGAATCACATGGAGATCAAAGGATCTAAAAGCTTTGGAGCAGACATGAGTTCCAATCCAGGCTTACCACATTCGACCTGTGTGCCTTGGGACAAGTCTCCTAACCTTTCTGATCCTCGGAGTAAATAAGGAATAAATAAGGCCCATCTCACCAGGTTGTATAGGAGTAAATGAAATAATGTTTATTAAGAGCCCAGTCCTGCCTTGCACACAAAGGTGTTAAAGTGAGCTAAGAAGATCAATATTGATCACCAGAGCAAGGCTTTTTAAAAAGTTCGGAAGCTATGTCTTGCTCTACATTCCCTACATTTGTCACATCGAGAATTTAGAAATTATTAGTCACATTGGCAGCAATCTCCCTTCCCAGCCCACTGGCACATCGGAAGGGTGTGATGGCACGCGACTGTGCATGCTTTAAGGGGGGGGCAGCAGAAGCACATGCCCACCTCCCGGGTCATGCAAGCCGTTCTCCCCCCGCGTCGGGAATCAGCAGCGGCTACAAACACTTCTTCCCAGAAAGGATGCTCATCCTTTGTTCTATGAGTTGACTCACGGGCCCTACGGTATTTCCCTCTATAATTCTTAGCAATGGCTTCGCAAAGCCTTGGAGAAAGAAGCAGTTCGCTTCTCAGTTTGCTCTGGGGGGCCCCTCCGCCCTGCCTGCATGCACACCCTTTGCAGTGGGACGTTGCTGCTCCTTCAACCAAGGGATACATCCTTTGCAGCCTCTCCCTGGGATGATCTAGGCGGGACATGGGATGGCCTTGACCAAGAGAATGTGTGCCTGTTCTGAGCGTGCAGGAACCCTGCTACTCCCAGGAACCTGCCAGGGCTAGCCTGACGGAGACACTCTACTCCCCTGAGAACATCCTTGAGTGTTGGTCCTGCGTCCCTAAGTGCAGCCCCAGCTCAGGGCAGGACGGGCCGAGGGATCAAGCTGGGAGGGCTGCCTGTACCTTGCAGATGAGCACGGGGTTGTTTTCCCTGTGGACAAGGAGACTGTGCAGTTAAGAACATTCCTTCTAGAACACGGAGCAGCAGAGGCGCGCCCAGGAGTCCAGCTGAGAGGGCTGTTGGACTGAGCTAAGCCAGACTTGATGGGGTGCTTACAGATCATGAGGACCTTACACTAAGGCACGAACAGCAGGAGGGAGGGATGGGGAGAGGCAGAGGTCACCAAGTTGTCACAGAGCTCGGGGACAGACTGGTTGGGGAGCAGGCAAGGGCGGGGTTTGGGGGCCTTTGGGCCAGGGCACGTGGAGAGACCCAGACAGGGCCCATCTCTAGGAGGAACAACCAAGGGGGATGACCTGCCATCTCGAGTTGGGACCCTCAGTCCCGGGAGTCTGCGTGGTTCACTATCCTGTGTCCCCTTCCCCACCTGGAGCAGAGTCTGTCTCTAAGGAGACACTGTTCATTTGCCCGAGACATACTAATTGGTATTTAAAAGCAATTACTCTGTGCCAGGCATGTTCTATTGCTTTATATATATTTACTCTTCCATCCTCAAGTGAGCCCTGTGAGGATTGTATTATCATTGTCCCCATTTTACAAACAAGGAGAACTGAGGCACAGAGGTTGGATACGTTGCCTGCCGTTCCAAATCGAGTAAGGGCCAGAGCCAGGATTCAACCCGGAGTGGGCCCCCAGAGCGGGCCCTCTCCGCTTGGCCGTTCCCTGTGGTGGAGCTGTGGGGGGCACGGCGGGAGGAGGAGTGGCATCCCTGGCCTCCACCCGCCACGCTGTTCCCTGCCCCATCCCTGCCGTGACAACCAGAACCGTCTCCAGACAGGCCTCCGGGGCCCGAGAGGCAACAACGGCCCCCCAGGGAACCCGCTGCAGAGTCTCATCTCTGCTTTTCTTTCTCCAACCCTCTTCCTTTGAGCGGAAGAGAGAGGCTCCCATGAGCCTTAAGGAGCATCTGCAAAGGAGAGAGTTCATGTGGAAATGGGTCTGAAGAGGGGCCGAGAAACCAGCCAAATGCTGACTCGACTCAGAAATAAAGGTTTCAGTGCACACCGTGTTACCGAAGGCCACGACTTCCTGAGTAAGACAACCAGTTGGAATCAGACCTTTCAGAGGCTGAAGGGAACTTGCCCAGGACGTAACAGCAACCTCTGAAGGCCCCTTTCTTGGAAATAGTTGCAAGCACGGTTTACGATGCAGGGTGACGCCAAGGACTGGAACTCTCTTAGTGCCAACACGACAGGGAAACACAGCAGAGAGGCTCCAAGCTCCCCGTAAGGGAAGGAGACGCAGGGAGGACGGCTGATGGACGGCGTGTGACTCATGTGATGCTTTCCAGCAGCAGCTCGATAAATATTGATGAGCGAACAAGACAGGAATTCAGGGACATCGGTTCACAGAGGTCTGAGCGGGGCCCGCGGGACCATTCACCCAGCCGCGCCTCTGAGCCCCCCACGAGCCCCGTCTGTCACACTCGCTGTCTAGGGACAGGTGCACCCGGAGTCGGAGCTGGGTGTGGCCTTAGGAGTCCGTGAGTGACCTTGTCACGAAGGGTGGGAGGTGACTGTTTAAAAGGACTGTAGCCTCCCTGTTCCCGCTTTCTACCTAGTAACAGCTTGTTCCTCGATGCCTTTGTCACCTCTGTCACTGCCGTATTGCAGGACTCAACCAGTATGACCAAGAGAATGCAAAATACCTCATTAGCAATTACACAGATGACACGTTGAACGGATAACATTTTGGATGTGTGGCGTTAAATAAGATAAAGATTACAATGAATTCCACCTGATTATTTTTCTTTTTTGATTTGGCTACCACACAATTTTAGATGGCAGACAGGGCTCAAATGACCTTTCCATGGGACCATGCAGGGGTAGAGGGTCAACGCTGTTCTTGCCTGAAATTTAGTGACAGAAGACAAAACCTTTCCCCCCACAATTAAGGCTGACGGCCAACTCTGGCTAGGGGAGAAGGCTAATTAGCAAGTGTGCAAGCCTGAGAGTTGGAATTTTGTCTCTATTCCTGCGGTCAGTTCGCACAGTTTGTCTGCACGCTCCTCTCCTGGGTTCCTGAGACGCCCTGGCTGGAGGTGAGCTGGAGTGTTTGCATTTCCGGAGCCTGCGAAGATCTGCCCCCAGCTCTGGTAGGGACTTCGGCTCCGCTGGTGTTTTCCTAGGTTTGCCCTTGCGAACCAAGTGATTCCTCTACTAAGTTAACAAAAGCTCCTCATTCACAATAAAAGTGGAAACAAAGCAACAACAAGAGTAGAAGGAGCCCTCCAGGATGCAAATGATTTCCCTACTGCTCTCTACTGAGACGGTCATCTCTTTGGTTCTAGTGCCAACCACATGCACACACACACTCACTCCCTCCTAGAAGAAATATGTGAAATTCATGCTTTCAGAAATAATCTACACAGTGTTTTTTTTGTTTTTTGTTTTTTGTTTTTTTTTAGTTTGCATCAAAATACCTTGCCCTGCAAAACTTGGGTCCCAATCAATAAAACTAATGTCCGGTTCCGGAGAAATCTATGGCTGCTAATTAAAATCACCTTCATTGAAACAAACTATAAAGGATTTACCTCTTGACTCTGCTAGTCATTGCTGATGGATTTTTCCTTTTAATTTATTCTAAAACCCTATCTTCCTGCCGCCAATGGTTTTGTGGGACCCTTGAGTGATCTGGTTTCCTTGAACACATACACACACGCATGCGTACAAACATGCTCACACACACAGAGTGGACTCCCACAGCTCAGGCAGTGTGTCTGGGGATGCATTCCTGAGCACACCACTTGACACTTCCTGATGGGACGCGGGTGCTGGGTGTGGAGGCTGAGAGGTAAAGTTTGGATCAGGCACAAAGTTCGAGTCAGCACAAAGCAAGCCTGTGGGGAGAAAAGTCACATCAACAAACAGGTGGAGAGACAATGCTGTGTAGATGGGGCAGCCCTGGGTTTCGTTCTACTTGTCTTTGCCTCTAACTCACTGGTGACCTTGGACCAGTCCCTAACTCTGGCACTTCCTTTCCCAGCCAGAGAGCTGGTCTCGAGGACCCACTGGATCCCTGCAAGCATTGATACTGTATGTTTGCTTCCTTCTCATTCGGTCAGCAAGTGCATTCCTACAGTGTACGAGGCATTGCCGTCGGCATTGAGAACACTCAGGCACTGGTGGCTTGTGGGTAACACGGTGCAGCAGAGACAGACCTGTGAACACAGAGTCTACACAGAGTCTAAGGACACCAAAGGAACTTGAGCTGATGGAAGACAAGGCAGGAGCTAGGTGAAGGAGGATGAAAAGCATCCCAGGCAAGGGGACCAGCAGCTCCCTCCAGGATGGTCACTTTGGATCCAGAGAGTTTAGCACAGAGCAGGCCCCTGTGAAGATGTTAAATAAGTGAACATGAGGGTCCAGAGGCAAGAAACAGCATGGGGAGTTCAGGGAGATGTGAATCGTTTTGCTAGGCTGGGGAGAGAAGACAGCATATATGGGAAGGATGGGAACAGGGTAAGAGAAGTGGGCAGGAGTCAAACCATGAGCTTTGTATCTGAAGCTAAAAAATGTGAACGTTAACCACTGTTGAATGGTTAAAATGGGCAAGATGCACGCAGAAAGACACTTGTGAAGTGCTTGCATTATTTCTTCTTGTATGGTTGGTAGAATTTACTGGTAAAGCTCTCTGGGCACAATATTGTCTTCATGAAGAGGACTTTACTTACAGGGGCGCCTGGGTGGCTCAGTCGGCTAGGCATTGGACTTTGGCTCAGGTCATGATCTCAGGGTCCTGGGTCCTAGGATCAAGCCCCATGTCAGGCTCTGAGCTCAGTGGGGAGTCTGTTTGTCCCTCTCCTTCTGCCTCTCCCCCTGCTCATGCTCTCTCTCTCTCTCAAATAAATAACATCTTAAAAAAGAGAGAGAGAACGTTACTTACAAATTATTTATAATTTTAGATTTTCTATTTCTCCTTCTGTCAGTTTGGTTAAGTTGTACATTTCCAAGGGATTTTTCTCTTCCTTCTAAATATTAACATTAATATTAAAATATTGCATTTTGTTTACAATACCCTCTCTAACCCCCTCTTTCTTCTTTACACTAGGAATTTGTGCCTTTTCTCTTTTTTCCTGTTTCAGCATCACCAACCACCATTTCTTGGTCTTCTCCAAGACTCACTCTTAGTTTTGTTGATCATCACTAATATGCATTTACCTTCTACTTTATTACTTTCTGCTCTCATCTTTATTTTTTCCTTCCTTCTATTAGGGGAGGGCAGATTAATTTGTTCTTTTTTTCTAAGTTCTGGAGATCCTAGCTTAGCTCATTGATTTTTAGCCTTTCTTTGTTTCTTTTTTTTTTTTTTAAGATTTTATTTATTTGAGAGAGAGAGCATGAGAGGGAAGAGGGTCAGAGGGAGAAGCAGCTCCCCGCCGAGCCGGGAGCCCGATGCGGGACTCGATCCCAGGACTCCAGGATCGTGACCTGAGCCGAAGGCAGTCGCTTAACCAACTGAGCCACCCAGGCGCCCCAGCCTTTCTTTGTTTCTAAGAGATGCAGTGGGGGTTATAAATTTCCCTTTAGGCATAGTGTAAGCTGTACCCCACAACTTGAGATAATTTGTCTTCGGTATCATTCCTTTCAAAGTATTCAGTTCAAAACATTTTGACGGCATTCAGTTCAAATCCTCTCTTCTCTCCCTGGGGCCCTGACTGTGTACGTACGTCAGGCTTTCTCAGCACCTCTCCTGTGCTTCCTCACCCTTTCTTTTGTATCTGTGGATTCTGTTCTCGTAACTCTCAATTCTTTATTCCGGATGCTTTCCTATGACCTACTTTTGACTCACTGAGTCTCCTTTTAGCAATGTCCATTCGCTGTGAAACCCTTCTGTTTTTAATTTGGGGTATTGTCTTTTTCAGACATAGAATTTCAATTTGGTTCTTTTTTTTTTTTAGTTTCTAAGGATTTTCACTAAACTCATTCTTTTTTGTCTTTGAACATGGCTGTTTTAAAAAGTCTACATCTGTTCATTCCATTAGCTGGAGGCCTTGTGAGTCTGTTTCTATTATTTATTGTTTCTCTTGGGTTTTGATGATGTCTTATTTCCTTGTGTGCTTTGATATTTTGGATGAGTGTCAGACTCAATCATTCTATGAAGAATTACAGAAATAATTTGAGGGCTAAAATGACATATTCTTACAGGGAGGATTTACTTTGGCTTCTGGTAGGCCCTTAGGGCCTCTGGAAATCCCAGTTTGCTTTAATCCAATTATAGGGATTAAGATTATTTGAAGCTGAGTAATGAGTATGAGATCAGGAGATGGCCTTAAAAAACCTATCTGCTCTCTCTGCTCTATACCAGAGATCAGAGCAAAACAGGCAGTCAGTCCAAGGTCCAGTGCACTGACATGCTGCAGCCAGACAGACCCTCTGTCACAGAAAAAACATTCTAGAGGAAGTCAGTGTTCCTTGCTTGGTTTACCCCTCTCTGCACTATAATCCCAACCCGCCATATGTAGAAAATAATACGTCATCTCACAAATACATATTTGTGAGATGACACAAGGAGTTTTTTCAGAGTGACTGAATCCAAACTCTGAAAACTGCAAACATTTATTCCCAAATGCACCATGAATAATAGTCTTGCTGAAGAACCACCAATGAGTCTTCATTATTTGATCCAAAGAAAACATTCCAAAATAATGTAATAATTATTCTTGACATTGTAATAATCTTACAAATCCTCTATTTTATCTAAGACATATTACATAAACATGTATTGTATAATCCTGTATTTCCATATGAATTGTCCCATTTGATCCTCACAACAACTGTGACACAGAGACAGGAAAGAATTTCTCAGTCACCTGCCCCCTTCCCTCCCACTGCCCGGGACACACAGTGTTTTAGATACAAAGGAGCAGGGCTAGAAGTGACTCCCTTGACCGAGGTCATATAGCAAATGGGCAGAGGGCCCCTGGCTTCCAACTCAGAGTTGGTGCTTCTTCCGTGACACTACTATGGGGCCCTCTCGTGACAGCACATCCTCACAGCTGTGAGGACCCACAGATAATCCAGGAAAGTCACAACTGCAAAAGACTATCCAAAAAGCCCCCCCTTCTGGGGATTGGGATGTGGAGACTTTCTCAGCCTGAGGTGGCACCTTTCTGTTCATTGCTGCCTTGGCTGAAGGATGGGATTCTGATGGCAGTGGGTCCCCCTGATTCTCTCCTGTGTTCAACACATTTTTGTTGAGCACCTCCTCTGTGCCAAGGTCGAGCTGCCTGAAACTCATCCATGAACAATGACAACAGAACCCCTGCCTTCCCTGCGGCCTCAGCTTTCCCGGCCAGAAGGCTGGTTTAGTGGCCCAGATTTGGGAGCCAGATGTCCTGGCCTGAGTCCTGGTGCCTCCACAGAGAGCAAGCCACTGGACTGCCCTTTCATGTTGAAGGTGTGCAGTTCATGGGGTCATGGGAGGCTGGCATGAGCTAATGGTGGTAATGCACATAGCAGGCATCCATTCATCTGAGTTATTTTATGACTGTTTAAATCACTCCTGTGCCACCCTGAGATCCAGCCCTACAAGGCTGCTCGCCATTCCCAAACCCACCAGACCTTTCCTACCCTTTCCACGTCACTCCTTCTACCTGGACGTCCCTCCCCTGGCCCAATCTCTCCACTTCCCAAAACTCCTTACCCTCCAAGTCTCCTCCTCCATGAAGCCACCCTTAGATCCCCAATTGGAGTGAATTCTCTGTGCTCAGCACCCAGACGACTCAGGGTATATGGGTTTTTGGGTTCTTGCTGCCTTCAGCCTGACTTCCAGCTATTTGCATAGGCAGGACTGGCTGCGCTGGGAGCCCAAAGCATGGCTCAAGGCTGAGCACAGGACCGTCCAGGGGCAGGGACGAGAGCACAGGGGAATGAGCATGTGGGTGCTCCTGTGAGGCCTCCTGGGGGCTCAGCCGCGGGCTGGATGTGAGGGTCGAGGTGACTGTCCTCCATGGCATCAACCGCCCAGCTCAGAAGTGCTCCCGCAGAGTGTGTGAAATCCTTGTGTGGGTCACAATCAGCAGGGAGGAGGAGGAAATACACAGGGGAAGGAGGAGGCGGAGATGGAGCAGACACAGAATAGAACAGAACAGAGTAGACTAGAAAGTACTGGAGCAAGTCATTCATAATGAGAGTAGGTATTGCTCCATGAAGCGTGTGTGTGTGTGGCTGAGGCTTGGTCACCATGGGAACTGAGTTTGTCAGTATGAGTTGAGGTTGCCCCCACAGAGCACAGGGAGCAGGCTGCTTTGCTAGGGGATGAGAGGCCATCTCCCGGTCCCATGACCACAGCTCCAGGTGGGCGCCAACCGCATCCCACCCCCAGCAGCTACCAGACTGGACCACACCCCGGCTGTCACTGCAACTGTCCCCTCCACGAAGGCAGCAGGAAAGGTTGGAGACAAAGCCCCCGATAGGGAAGTTGGACAGAGACAGAGCTGAGTGTAAACCCCCAGTGATGCTGGACGGATGCTTCATTCCTTGGGCCCCGGCTTCTGCATTCGAAACAATGAAACTGAGGGCGTCTGTCCTGGGGCGCCTCATGGGGCACCTCAC